GTCACTGAACAAATCCCACAGGATGGTAGTACTTCAAAGGACACGTGAATCCTCATTTTGAGCGTCTATCAAGGAAATGCTTCGCAGTAAATGTTATTGGAAGACAAATAATAAGACTACATGTGGGCAGTTATGGATGATAAACTCATTCACATAATAAAAATCAGGGATGTCCAAGCATGTTCCGCCACTCTAGATGTAATTGATGTGTACATGCGGCTTAAAGGTGTTTTATATGTTCCAAAGCAACAGACCTTAGGCAAAGAAGTGATTGGAGCCAAAGACAAAATCCCGTAGTGTTTTGAAAGTACCCACTTTGGGGGAGGAAACAGGTTTTCTCGAGACAGAGCGTCAGAGTTTGCAATCACGAAAAGGAAAACAATTCCATCGTCATTTCGGACGGCTTTACTGTTCACTCAGTTTCCGACAGTTGCTTTTGAAGTCGGTGTTATGGCTGAGTTTCAGCAAGTATAGGCACGCGTGGTTAGGATCATGCGAGTAGGACAGGTTAAGTACACACCTGATATGCCGGACAAATCAATTTGTTTGGCTTATCTGAAGAGTTCTCCACTATTGCTTCCCCCCAACAAGATCAAACACTAGTCTTTGATTCCCTATTTGACCTTGTATATCCGGTTACTTTTACTCACTTTATTAACATTAATTAACCAAACGAGTTTACCCAGCTTGCAGTCGATTCCCTGTCACACGCTGTGAGTTACCCAACCAAATTCTACGGCAGGCATGACGAGGGACTCATATGCCTGCCCACGCGTGACAGCCAAACAGACGTGCCAAAACTGTCTATCATGTCACTTTCAATCGATCATCTCAACTGCGCTATTGGTGCATTTTGTCCTGTCCAATCATTGCTGCTTCTGGCTGACGTCTGACTGCCCAGCATATTTATGTGAATAGTCAATCAGTTTGTGCCTTGCCTCGCTTTAAAGCGGTTCTTGCGGTTGCGCCCAGCTATTTGTCGACATTTATCTGTGCCTGCGGACACCGTTTGAGGTTTGTCAGCTTTTGATATTAATTTTATCCTAATAGCGCCGCAGTCAATCCGTCCTTGAATTTTGACTTATTTCGGGGATTGTGCCTTAGTTTGTGTTCGTGGATTTGTTGTTGGTGATCTGTTATCTGTACGGTCCTTTATGTACTTGGACAACCGGACACTGCGCTTTCTGTTCAAGGTTTTTAAGCCTTTTGACACTTACCTTTGACCATTTTCTGGCTCGGGGTTCGGTTTCTCTGGCATTCCAAAGTCGCGTTCCAAACAAGGTTGCCAAACTTGGATGGAATCCATTCGACAGCGCACGTGGGTCATCAAGAAGATGGAAGCCTAATAACTCCCGTAGCCTCCCGTAGCCCTCCGTAGCCTGCCAACCTGCTGGTTGCCTCATTCCGCAGACGTCTCAGCCTATATTGAACTGCTAAAGTCACCAAGGTCACGTTTTTGAGAAGTGGCTTGTAATATTTGTAGTCATACCTAAGGCGTAATGGAACAAGGCGACATTTTTGAACATTAGATGTTAGAGCCTTTTCAACTGACCAGTTCGAAATTGAGTTGAGATCACTCTGAAGAACTCTGGGGTAGTTCGGATCACTGATCGCTCGCCATATCTTCAAGTCTTCAGCGAAGAATAGGAAATCGAAAGCTATTTCACTCGCTATAACATTTATGAAAAACAAGAGTAGTGGTGCGCTAGATAGGTATAGATTGTGCAGTATTAACCTGCATCAAGTAGTGTCCACCTGAATCAAGAGGAACCAGCGCCTTGTACTAGATTCCCAACTGCAAACTCCACCTCGGAGCAGAGCATACAGACCGTGTGTAAGAACGATAACCAAGTATTAGGTACCCCGACTGAAGCTAATTCTTGATCTCTTACGTGGAGATGGTTTAAATGAACCGCTCGGCCTGCACAGTTCATCAAGTTCTCGCGATACGTACAACATTGAACAATGAATATGATGACTATGTACGTTTTAAGAAGAACTGCTTTACACTCCCTGTCAGATCGTCCGCAAGGTTCTAGAAAATGCTTAATGAAAAATGCAGTCAGTTGTTTTTCTTTCAAAATAATTTACTGCGGTACCCTTTCACTCTGCGTTTTTTCGTAGCATTAAAAGGCGAAAAAGAAATCCAAAATATTTCCCGCCTAAATATCTCCGAACATGCTTGGAGCCTATGTGAGGTCGTTTGAGGTATACGATATCAAAGCTTGGCAGCCCTGACGGAAGCATCACCTTACTGCGTTCAATAATGCACAATGAAAGGTGACAAAAACCTCCGAAGTGTTTCCTGCCTGCGCTACACACTCAGGCTGAGAAGTCTCAAAAGGTACACCGAAATTATTGGCGTCTACGGGGATATCACATATCCTGAGGTGTCCCAATCACACAGTCAGGTGACCATAATTTAAAATTGGGGACGCAGTACAGCCGAATGAAATGTCAGCGTAACATTTCTCTCTCCGAGTATCATGTATTCTCAACAGTCTATTAGCTAGACAAAGAGTATCACAGGCTTGGAACGCTGTTCCGATGCAGGAAATAAATGCACGCACATTGTACCTTTCCCAAAAGGAATTGACGATACCTTTACACACTTACACTACGTGATATATCCAATGACCTCCAGATGATGACATTAGGGAAAAACGTGTATGGTGTCATAATCCTCCTTAGCACCAAGCAGTATGACTCGCACTTGCGCTACGCCAAACCCTTTGGTGAGTCAATTATCTCACACGATCCTTTACTGACACCATTTTTGTAATTTTTTGTAAAATTCTTCATAACGATACTGCGAAACATGTTAGGCATTTCATTTATATCCTTCGTAAACCATTGCCTTATTTCTCAATCCAACCGACTTTTACAAATGACTTCTACTGGTGCAAAACAACCTGTTCGGGGAGCGCATTCCATCCTTGACACAAGCGAAGGAAAAGAAATTTCTACACTCCATACGGGTGTGCTGTTCTGCCAATTTCAATGAGTGGTGTCTAAGTTTGGGGCTGATGCTACGTCGCATTAAAGAGCGATACACATAATTTGGATTATGTAACATCAAACAGACCATTATCAAGTCGTCTTGCAGTCAGATATACGGCACGCTGAATACTCCCAAACGTTTTTATATCTGCTCATATGGGAGGTGGTACCTTCCGTTGACGAATGTGAAAGCGTGCTGTTGAGGCTGGTCTAGTCCAGTGAAATCGTGTTTACTCCATGGCTGCCAGGATTGAATTGCGTATTCAACATGGGGCTTACATAGGCATTGAACATCCGTCTAGAAATAGATTCGGCTACTTATCTAAACGCCCGTCGTAATAAATCGAAATTTTGGCTACCAGTTTTCCAGGTCTTTTCGAATTGCGCAGATCAACCCACGTTACCATGCACCAGCACTCCAAGGTGGCGTCTAACAGATGATCACTGCAGTACTTGCGATCCTACCCTTTATGTATAAGTATTTTGGTGTCGTATTGAAAGTATCTTGCAGTTATTCAAGTTAAAATGTAGCATATTTGGATTGGCCGCTTATGTACGTTATCTAGTGCATATAGGAATAAATGCTACTCGTCATCCGCTTGCATCCTGCACCATATTTTGGTACCGTCCCCATACCTCAGGAAATTAACAGTGATTACCTGTGCGCTTACATTAATAAATAACAAAAAACGTCATGGCTTTGGAACTGAGACGTGATGGACATCAGAAGTGCTTGTATGTGGATATATATGAAACTCCGGACTCTGGCACGTACTCGCTTTTGCAGGAAATACTTGGCCATCCAGCATAGAAAAGGGGCTCCGAATCCATAATTTTGGAGTTTAGAATGGGCAATTCGTTGATCCGAACATTAGAATACTTTCGGCAAATTCAAGTGGATTGAAACAACGATCTCTCTCCCGTTAGCTGACTCGGTGCACCTAATGCGTGAGAATAATAAGGCTGTTGTGCATGATTGATGTCGACGAAACCTGGGTTGTACTGCAACAATAATGGTACCGTTTTTTAAATGACACAGCAACGCTTTGTCAAAATTGGATTCCGTTTGTTTGGACCGTATATAAGGAAGAGATACTGGGCGGCAGTTTAAAGGCTCAGCCCTGCTTCTACCTCTGTAAATTGGCGTTATCGTTGCAAGCTTTACTTTGCAAGTGTCTAGTTATGGTTTAAAATGCGAGGAAAGAGCTAGGTTAAACGTGTGTATACTAGCAATGGTTTACTCTCTTCAATGTCCGCATGGTGACGGATCACCGCCTAGCTTCTGACGTGCAGCGAGTATTGACGTGTTCATACGATTTTGTACATCTGGTGGTCAACTTACCCTGCCCGAGGTCCCGGTTTCGCAGCATGAACAAGTTAGGACGGACCTACAAGAAGTAATATCCGAGATAACTATAATATAACCGCTTTCACGAAATTCGGAACTGGAAACGAAGAAGCCATCTTGTACCTTGTGCCCAACAACGAAGAAATAATGATCGATATCAGTCATATAGACTCACCGCTTTGACGTAGCAATAACGCGAAGCTGTGCTTCCGTTACATCTGCTACGCGGAATACATCACTGAAAACAACGCTAAAGTTCTCATCGTCACCCATTAGGATGCGTGCTGTGAGAACGTTCTAGAAACTAAGTAATCCATACTAGACGAGCATTCCTCTAATATCGCCTGTAGTGTATTTGTCACGGGGCTAATGGCAAATGCGTCGGAAAATAATGAATTTCGCCCGAAGAAAACGAAGTCCTTACTGACTAGCCGGCTCCATAAATGCATCGCTCTAAGAGATTCGGTCTGGCATGCTTATAGATCCTGAGATGCTTGCATAATACAATAGAACGCGAAGACAAACTCTAACAACAACAACAACAACAGGACTTGGCGCCAAATATAGTGATTATCATGAGATGATCTGCAAATATGTAAAGAAGCGTGCAGAGTGCAGTGCAAAATCTGGCTTCTGGGTGTATTAAGTAGTGTGTCGCTAACTAGAGAATAGGAGGCAAATGCTCGTCTGAACTGGTATTTACGCAATTTTTTTAGATTGATTATTCAACTCACTCGTTCATGGTACAGCTCACTCCGCTCTCAGGGTTGAGCCACCTCTGCTACATCGCAGCAGATCTGAGGAAAAGATTATTGTCCTTGTAAGTGCAAAGCTATCCTTGCATGGAGGATTTAAGACTTAAGTAATTAACGACAGCAGTCATAAAGATAGCCGAACCATCACCTCATTGTTTTTACTAATGTCCTGGTGAAATACGTGATCCCACAAGGTGGAGAATATAACATTATATAACAATACGTAAGGTATAATAATAAATAACATTACTAATATATATCATATAATAGTAGGATAACATTATAATAACATACTTAACTCCTATTTATGAGAGTCGCAATCGTTCAAAGCTCTGTAATGCTATCTAATCCTTCTCCTGTCGGTGTATCCAAGGCCATGTAAGTTCCTGTCGCTGAGGCGTTAATGAAGTACCTTGAGATCATCATTATCATACTGTCACAGTAGGTTGGCTTCTGCCGAAGTTTGTCCAGCGTTACAAACTTGATGCTCTTCCGTACAGGGTAGGTGGCCTCAGTCGACTCCAGGTTAGAGGTTGATATCGTCTAATTGGAATTCTCTAAAGCGTTTTTTGCATGGTACACCGTATACTTCTTCACGAACTTTGAAGATATTGAATCCGTGACCTTGTGCTAAGTTGGATAAGCAACTTACTCATTCAACGTCAGTAGCATGTGATTGTCCGCACATTCGTCACCGACCCAAGTAAAGTCCAGTTTGGCGTGCCTCAAGGATAGGTTCTTAGACTACTTATTTTCCAAGTATTGATCAACCATCTCGCTAGTGTGTCCGAGCTGAACTTCTCAAAATTTGCAGACGATCTCAAGATCCGGTGAGACATCTTGACCATGAAGGACCAAAGGGCACTACAGAGAGAACTCGACAGAGCTTATAAATGGTCATCCAAGACCAGCTCTAGATTAATATGGCAATGTGCAAAGCTTTGGGCATACCCCATCAGCGTACTCATGAATATAGACTGAGTGAAAAGCAGTTGCGACATGCTGTCCAGAAAAGCGACCTTCGGTCAGTCGTGCAAGATGATCTTAGGTGCTATGAACAGGCTGAAAAGACATCAAAAAGAGCCAGTTAGTATGTTGTCTTCTTACGAAGAGAGTTCGGAAATTTCGAACAGTCTACGTTTCTGCAAATGCTAAAAGCCTACGTGAAAATGCATGTGGAAAAAGGGATCCAAACATACAGACTTTGGTACGGACTCTATGGAATTACGCTTGAAGTGCCGCAACATACAGTGACGATGATGAATCTTTTAGCGTCCCTACAAAGCAGAATGCAAGCCGTAGGATTGAAATCGGTAGATATCAGCGCCTACGAAGAACACTTATCATGCTGTGCCAACGGGTGATAGAGCCCGATCATGTCTGCCGCGATATGTTGCCAATTAAGCAACAACACCAATTTGAGAGGCCACCAGCTCAAACTGGCCACGCACCACGATCGAATTGATTGCTGAAGAAAACACTTTTTTCGCTTCGGGCATTCCCAATTTGGAACGCTGTTCCAACTGACGTTATGCTACCTCTAAATTAAACATTCTAATAAACAGTGAGCAATGATTTATCACGGGATAAAAGCAAGTGCTTGACACGTCCCGTAGGATGGTTGCGGTGAATATGATGAAAGCAAAATATGTCTGGGTCATCTATCGAACGTCTGCCGAGATGAATAGTTTGATGATTAAAATCAGTGTAAAATTAAAATAATTATCCAGCGTAAACGTTCAGAAAGACACTGGGGTGCAGGGATCGTTGAGGTAAGGAGTGAGAAAAGTAAAATATGGTCGCTCACTTAGGTCCATTTGATACATAAATTCTGTGTAAAAGCATGCTTGGCGTAATCCACAATAGAGGAGTTTAGGTAACAAAATGTTGGGAGCTAAGAGCAACATCTAGTCGTTTTGTGAAAACATTAAAGGTAGGAGAGGATACAACTGAGTCTGGAAGTGCGTTCCAGGGTTGGCAAACCCGAAGGGAAAAGTAATTCCGTCGACACTCTAGACGGCTATATTGTTCCTTCAACTTTAAGCAGTTACCCCTGAGCTGCGTGTTGTGGCTAAGTTTCAGCAAATGGCGGCATACGTGGTTGGTGTCACTCAGTATCTGATACGCTAATATGAGATCGCCGTGCAGCCTTTGGTAGCGTCCGCTGAAAATTCCCAGCAACTTCAGCCTTCGGTGGTAAGGATGATAGCGCAGGCCCTTTACATTCTTCGTTGCTCTTCGTTTTGGTGCCTCTATCGCCTCTAGGTCGCGCTTCAACCAAGTTGCCAAGCTCGGATAGCGTATTCAACATGCGGGCGCACGTAGGAATTGTGCATCATTGGGAAGATTGATGGGACAAATCTCACGAATGCCCTTCGCAGCATGCCGACTTGCTGGTTGCCCCTTTTCGCAGCTAACTCAGCCTGTTTTGAACAGTTGAGGTCGCACTGTACGATCACACCAAGGTCACGTTCCTGGGAGCTATTCTGCAATCCGTTTGTCCCAAGTGAACAGGTGTATTTATGTCTATGGCGTACTAGTACAACGCGACGTTTGTCTACGTTGAACGGTGGGGCGTTTTGAACTTACCAGTTCGACCTGTGTAAAGATGGCACTGGAGCCGTTCATTGTA